GAATGTACATTTTTCTACACAGGAGTTTGTATTATCTTTATTTTTCATAGCTTAAAAACTTAGGTATTGTGGCCCAGCAGGAGCCGTTGGAGCTGCCAACAGACTCCGATAACGAGGGACCCTATGAGATGGTTCCGGACGATGTGGAGGACCTTGGGCAGTGTTCAGACTCCGAGCAGGGACCAGAGAGGCTGGTTGGCCACCAGGAGGCCCCTGAGGCATGGAGCAGCAGTGAAAGCCAAAGGGAGTTTGTCCCTGACGTCAGGCCCTGGAACAGTGGTGAAGACATCAGGCCCTGGAGCAGTGGGGAGGAGCAAAGGGAGTTGGTCCCGTACACCAGGCAAAGACGGGCAGATAAGCGCCGGCAGCAATTACAGAGACATAGAAGATAATCGGGTCCAGGTGGTTGTGATTAGGCTCCTCCCAAGAGAGTATATAAGAAGAGACTTTGGGAGGAGACCTTTTGCAGGACACAACCGTTTTACTAAAGCTGGAGAAGCTCTTGTGTGTATTTCTTATCTGTGGGAGTCTGGGTTGCTGCCAAAGTCTTGTCTGTGAATAAATTGGCTAACAGTAACCTTGTGTCGGCGTGACTCACTGTACGCAAGGGGGGGGGGGTGTTAGAACAGGTATTAAGTGTTGCACTAGAATCATGCTCAAGAAGCTGAGCTACTGCCAATCTGAATAAGGAAAGCTGGGCTAGATCAGCCTAACCTTAGATAAAGTGTACATTTCAGGAAACAGGGTAACAAAAATGTGGCATTCAGAAGACACCTATTATACACCAAAATAGTATATTTTTCAGTCAGAGGGCTTCCAACATAATACATAAAAGCAGCAGAAGGGAAGAAAGACAAGGAATGTGGAAAGGGTGGGGCATTCTCAAATGTGTTTGATTTTCGTTGCAATGTTATTCAAGCAGTTCCTTATGCCAAAGGTAACTCGGGGTAGGGCTGGGACAAAGATAAGGCACAAGTGAAAACTGAACACTGAACACCTAGCAAATCAAAAGTCGTATCTTGAAGTCCAAAAGAAATTAATTGTTTTTAAGCTTGTCTGTCTGTCCATGATGCCATACTCTGAGAAGCTGAGATAAAAAAGCTTCCAAACAAGCTTATATGGGAGGTGAAAGGGAAAACATCAGAGTGAAATTCAGGATAATATTCTCCCAAACAACTCAAACTATTGAATCGGATTTTAAATTATTGAGGAGTCCCGAGCAACTATTTAGCCTTCTAAACTCTTCAATTGCATGCACTGCGTTAGGATGAAACCAGCACACAAAACATTAGAGAAGGAAGATGACTGTCCTTTTGTGTATCTTCAACATCACTGACTGACCACCTTGCTCCAATGAATGGCCTGCACAAAGAAGAGACACAGAAAGGAACTCTTCAATTGCATGCACTACATTAAGGATGAAACAAGCACACAAAGCAATAAAACAGCTACTTACAGAGGAAAGATGATTATTCTGTGGGTCTTCAACACCATCAAATGACCACCTTGCTCCAATGAATGGCCTGCACAAAGAAGAGACACAGAAATGAACTCTTTAATTGCATGCACTACATTAGGATGAAACAGGCACACAAAACAATAAAACAGCTACTTACAGAGGAAAGATGACTGTCCTGCCGATCTTCAACACCACTGACCATCTTGCTACAATGACCTGCACAAAGAAGAGACACAGAAATGAACTCTTTAATTGCATGCACTACATTAGGATGAAACAGGCACACAAAACAATAAAACAGCTACTTACAGAGGAAAGATGACTGTCCTGCCGATCTTCAACAC